CCTTTATGTTCAGACCAGGAAGCGGGTGAGGAGCGGGTGAGGAGCGGGTGAGGAGCGGGTGAGGAGCGGGTGAGGAGAGGTGAGAGACACAATTGGAGGTTTTTATCTCCGAATCCAAGAAAAAGAGATTCCGGCAATTGAATATTATAGTAATCCTGTCGGTCTCACACACTGCGGCGCCGGGATGAAGTGGGGGAGGAGGGGGGAGGGGGAGGGGGTGAGGGAGAGAGGGGGGAGGGAGAGGGGGAGAAGCCATCTTTGAAATACCAATCATTTAAACAGTCTTTGTGGGAGAAAGTAAAAACTAGGGAAGGCAGAAAGAAAGAAAAAGCAGATAAAGAGCAGAAAGAAACCAGAGAGAGACTAGAGCGAGACCAGAGAGAGACCAGAGAGAGACCAGAGAGAGAGACCAGAGAGAGAACAGAAAGAGATACTAGAGAGAGAGGAGAGAGAGCAGAGACCAGATAGAGAGAGAAGGCAGACAGGGACCAGAGTGAGACCAGAGTGAGACCAGAGTGAGACCAGAGTGAGACCAGAGTGAGACCAGAGAAAGAGATCAGAGTGAGACCAGAGAAAGAGACCAGAGAGAGACCAGAGACAGAGACCAGAGAGAGAGACCAGGGAGAGAGACAAGACAGAGACAAGAGAGAGAGAGAGACCAGAGAGAGACCAGAGAGAGAGACTATAAATAGACCCGAGACAGACCAGAGAGAGAGCAGAGACAGACCAGAGAAAGTCCAGAGGGAGAGACCAGAGAGAGTCCAGAGGCTGTTTTAGGAGAAAACATCTTTGAAATCCACTCTGTTTTGTCAGATATCTTTGCTCCACATGGTACCTGGTGGAGAAGTGGGTGTTGCTGGTTCAGTGTGTGTTGTGTTTATGTGACGCTGATTTGAACTAAAAATATTCTTCTCTTGTGTCTTTTCTGCAGCAGCAGCAGCTCACACTGAGAGAGGAGCTAAAAACAGAACCTTGATCAATACTTCAAAAGGAGACGCCATTCTAGACCAGAGAGAGACCAGAGACCAGAGAGACCAGAGAGAGACCAGAGAGACCAGAGAGAGACCAGAGAGACCAGAGAGAGACCAGAGAGACCAGAGAGAGACCAGAGAGACCAGAGAGAGACCAGAGATCAGAGAGACCAGAGAGAGACCAGAGAGAGACCAGAGACAGACCAGAGACAGACCAGAGACCAGAGAGGGACCAGAGAGAGACCAGAGGGAGACCAGAGAGAGACCAGAGACAGACCAGAGGGAGATCAGAGACCAGAGAGAGACCAGAGAGAGACCAGAGTGAGACCAGAGAAAGAGACCAGAGCGAGACCAGGGAGAGACCAGAGAGAGACCAGAGAGAGACTAGAGACGGACGTGAGAGAGAGCTCAGAGAGAAACCAGACCAGAAAGTGAGAAAAGTTAGAGACCACAAAAAGAAAACATTACCCAAAACTCAGAACCAGAGATGACAGAGAGCTCTGACAGCAGACGCTACTCCTATATCACCACAACAGACTGATGCAGCATCACTGCCTCTGCTGCTGCCAACAAACCCATAACATCTCCTCTAATAAATCCATCCACAGAACCATAAATCGCTGTGACATATGGTCCATATTTCCTCCACTGTTATTGTCAACACTGTAGAGAGAGACCAGAGGGAGACTAGAGAGAGAACGGAGCGAGACCAGAGAGAGGCCAGAGAGAGACCAGAGAGAGACCAGAGAGAGACCAGAGAGAGACCAGAGAGACACTAGAGAAAGACCAGAGAGAGACCAGAGAGAGACCAGAGAGACACTAGAGAAAGACCAGAGAGAGACCAGAGAGAGAGACCAGAGAGAGAGACCAGAGAGAGAGACCAGAGAGAGAGACCAGAGAGAGACCAGAGTGAGACCAGAGTGAGACCAGAGTGAGATCAGAGAGAGACCGGAGAGAGACCAGAGAGCAACCAGAGAGAGACCAGAGAGAGACCAGAGAGAGACATGAGAGAGAGACCAGAGAGAGACCACGGAGAAAGACCAGAGAGAGACCAGAGAGAGAGACCAGAGAGAGACCACGGAGAAAGACCAGAGAGAGACCAGAGAGAGACCAGAGAGAGACCAGAGAGAGACATGAGAGAGAGACCAGAGAGATACCAGAGAGAGACCAGAGAGATACCAGAGAGAGTCCAGAGAGACACTAGAGAAAGACCAGAGAGAGAGACCAGAGAGAGAGACCAGAGAGAGAGACCAGAGAGAGACCAGAGTGAGACCAGAGTGAGACCAGAGTGAGACCAGAGAGAGACCGGAGAGAGACCAGAGAGAGACCAGAGAGAGACCAGAGAGAGACCAGAGAGGGAACAGAGAGACAATCAAGGGAGATAAGAGAGAGACCAGAAAGAGACCAGAGTGAGACCAGAGAGAGACCAGAGAGCAACCAGAAAGAGACCAGAGTGAGACCAGAGAGAGACCAGAGAGCAACCAGAGAGAGACCAGAGAGGGACCAGAGAGACAATCGAGAGACAATCGAGGGAGATAAGAGAGAGACCAGAAAGAGACCAGAGAGAGAGACAAATTCAATTCAATGGATTTGTGTATTGTCCTAAATAACAACATCAGTCGTCTTGGAAAAAGAACCAGAAACAGACATTGGTCCATGGTCCGTAACAGCGTTAATGGTTTCATCACATGTTTAATCAGAGAGTATGTTGGTGCGTCAGCTTTGTCCAGGCTTCTACCACGGGCACATCTCTGACATCAGCCCCACACCAGGAGAGTGGGGGAAGGACCAGCAGGAGACATAAGGACCAGCAGGAGACATACGGACCAGCAGGAGACATAAGGACCAGCAGGAGACATACGGACCAGCAGGAGACATAAGGACCAGCAGGAGATAACAAAAGCAGTCGTGGCTCACTGCTGATTATTTAGAGAGTATTTCCAAACAATGACAAATATTTGACTATCTGGTCTCTGTCTCTCTCGTTGGTCTCTCTCTGTAGCCTCTCAGTTGTTTCTCTCTGGTCTCTCTCCAATCTCTTTCTGCTCTCTCTCTTTCTCTCTCTCTGCTCTCTGGTCTCTTTCTCTCTGCTCTCTTTCTCTCTCTCTGTCTCACTCTGCTCTCTCTCTCTGGTCTCTCTCTCTTTCTCTCTCTGCTCTCTCTCTCTCTGGTCTCTCTCTCTTTCTGCTCTCTGCTCTCTCTCTCTCTGCTCTCTCTCTCTCCGCTCTCTGGTCTCTTTCTCTCTCTGCTCTCTCTCTCTCTCTGGTCTCTCTCTCTCTGCTCTCTCTCTCTGGTCTCTCTCTCTTTCTCTCTCTCTCTCTCTGCTCTCTGGTCTCTCTCTCTTTCCCTCTGGTCTCTCTCTCTCTGCTCTCTCTCTCTCTCTGCTCTCTGGTCTCTTTCTCTCTCTGCTCTCTCTATCTCTGCTCTCTGCTTTCTCTATCTGCTCTCTCTCTCTGGTCTCTCTCTCTCTGCTCTCTCTCTCTGCTCTCTCTATCTGCTCTCTCTCTCTGGTCTCTCTCTCTGGTCTCTCTCTCTCTGCTCTCTCTCTCTGCTCTCTCTCTCTGGTCTCTCTCTCTCTGGTCTCTCTCTCTGCTCTCTCTCTCTCTGGTCTCTCTCTCTCTGGTCTCTCTCTCTGGTCTCTCTCTCTCTGCTCTCTCTCTCTGCTCTCTCTCTCTCTGCTCTCTAACTGATCTGAATGAAATATGAACTATTACTGTGTTAACTATGACATTTCTCACAATTAAACATGTTGATGGTTTGACAGCACTGGTCCTGGTCTGTTCTGGTCTATGGTTCTGGTCTCTCTTTGTTAAGCGGGTCTTCGGTCTAAGTTTGTGTATTTTTATTGTCTCCTTGAACCTTGACCCGAGTCGTTCACTTCAGCTCAGATTCTAATGAAACACAGAACCCACCGAATCAATAATAATGAACCCACACAGACGCTCAGAGAGAACCAGGAGTCAGTGCTGGTCCTCGCTGTGGAAATATCCCACCTGGTGTCAGTGAGAGTCAGATTCTGGTCTCAGTTTGGAGATAATCTTGCTGCAATTCCTCTCTCTCTCTAGTCTCTGTTCTCTCTGGTTTCTCTCTCTGTTCTTGCCATCGGGTCAATGTCCCTGATCTCACACTGGGCTCACACAGAGAGAGAGACCAGAGAGAAACAAGAGAGAAACCTGAGAGAGAGACCTGAAAGAGACCAGAGAGAGACCAGAGACAGACCAGAGAGACCAGAGAGAGACCAGAGAGAGACCAGAGACAGACCAGAGAGACCAGAGAGAGACCAGAGAGAGACCAGAGAGAGACCAGAGACAGACCAGAGAGACCAGAGAGAGACCAGAGAGAGACCAGAGACAGACCAGAGCTGGGGTCCGCTGCGTGACGTGAGCGCGCACACACGCACATGCACGCGCGCATACACACACACACACACAGACCAGAGAGACCAGAGAGAGACCAGAGAGAGACCAGAGAGAGACCAGAGACAGACCAGAGAGACCAGAGAGAGACCAGAGAGAGACCAGAGACAGACCAGAGAGACCAGAGAGAGACCAGTGAGGCTCGCATTGTCTCACAGTGTCCAGCCTCTCTTTCTCTCTATCTCGGTCTCTCTCTTTCTCTGGTCTCTCTCCCTCTCTTTAACTGTGATCTCTCTCTCTGCTCTCTCTCCCTGGTCTCTCTCTCTCTGGTCTCTCTCTCTCTGGTGTCTCTCTCCCTGGTCCCTGCAGAACCCTCCATCACTTCCCTAGTACCAGCGCAGTCCTCCTCCTGCTCCTCCTGCTCCTCCTGCTTCCCCTGTTCTTCCTGCTCCTCCTGCTCCCCCTGCTCCTCCTGCTCCTCCTGCTTCCCCTGTTCTTCCTGCTCCTCCTGCTCCCCCTGCTCCTCCTGCTCCCCCTGCTCCTCCTACCATGAAGCAGGTATCTCGTACGTATCTCGTAACTCCCTGGTCTGTGCTAAAGGTGTGTGTGGAGGATGATGATGATGGTGATGATGGTACCAGGTGCACGCAAGCTTGCTGGTCTTACGTCTTACCTGGTTTATCCCAAAAGCAGAGGAGAGGGACCGCCGGGGACCAGAAAGCACTCCTCCAAAAACGCTTCCAATTCGCGACGTACTTCCACAGTGTCCGCGCGTAAAGAGAGTACAGGGGTTCCCAAAGATCCGAGCCAGAGCCGAGCCGAGCCGAGCCAGAGGGAGGTGGATGCCGTCAGATGGTGCGTCCGTGTGGGGTGGGAGACGAGAGAGACATCGCTGCTGCTGCTGCTGCTGCTGCTGCTGACTCTCCTCTGGATGCTCAGATCTGCTCCTATTTCAAGAGCTGGGGTCCGCTGCGTGACGTGAGCGCGCACACACGCACATGCACGCGCGCATACACACACACACACACAGACCAGAGAGACCAGAGAGAGACCAGAGAGAGACCAGAGAGAGACCAGAGACAGACCAGAGAGACCAGAGAGAGACCAGAGAGAGACCAGAGACAGACCAGAGAGACCAGAGAGAGACCAGTGAGGCTCGCATTGTCTCACAGTGTCCAGCCTCTCTTTCTCTCTATCTCGGTCTCTCTCTTTCTCTGGTCTCTCTCCCTCTCTTTAACTGTGATCTCTCTCTCTGCTCTCTCTCCCTGGTCTCTCTCTCTCTGGTCTCTCTCTCTCTGGTGTCTCTCTCCCTGGTCCCTGCAGAACCCTCCATCACTTCCCTAGTACCAGCGCAGTCCTCCTCCTGCTCCTCCTGCTCCTCCTGCTTCCCCTGTTCTTCCTGCTCCTCCTGCTCCCCCTGCTCCTCCTGCTCCTCCTGCTTCCCCTGTTCTTCCTGCTCCTCCTGCTCCCCCTGCTCCTCCTGCTCCCCCTGCTCCTCCTGCTCCCCCTGCTCCTCCTGCTCCTCCTGCTCCTCCTGCTCCCCCTGCTCCTCCTGCTCCTCCTGCTCCCCCTGCTCCTCCTGCTCCCCCTGCTCCTCCTGCTCCTCCTGCTCCCCCTGCTCCTCCTGCTTCTCCTGCTCCCCCTGCTCCTCCTGCTCCTCCTGCTCCTCCTGCTCCTCCTGCTTCCCCTGTTCTTCCTGCTCCTCCTGCTCCCCCTGCTCCTCCTGCTCCCCCTGCTCCTCCTGCTCCTCCTGCTCCTCCTGCTCCTCCTGCTCCCCCTGCTCCTCCTGCTCCTCCTGCTCCCCCTGCTCCTCCTGCTCCCCCTGCTCCTCCTGCTCCTCCTGCTCCCCCTGCTCCTCCTGCTTCTCCTGCTCCCCCTGCTCCTCCTGCTCCTCCTGCTCCTCCTGCTCCTCCTGCTTCCCCTGTTCTTCCTGCTCCTCCTGCTCCCCCTGCTCCTCCTGCTCCCCCTGCTCCTCCTGCTCCTCCTGCTCCTCCTGCTCCCCCTGCTCCTCCTGCTCCTCCTGCTCTCCCTGCTCCTCCTGCTGCTGTCAGAGCCTCCACAACTTCCCACCTCCACGATGCGTCTCTGAACCATCAGCCTCTAAATACCAGTAGTTTTGGACTAGTTTAAATCCCCCAAAACACCTGCTCCACTGGTCCTTCCCATCTCTGTAACTGTAAAACCATCTGTCACATGTACCATGAAGCAGGTATCTCGTACGTATCTCGTAACTCCCTGGTCTGTGCTAAAGGTGTGTGTGGAGGATGATGATGATGGTGATGATGGTACCAGGTGCACGCAAGCTTGCTGGTCTTACGTCTTACCTGGTTTATCCCAAAAGCAGAGGAGAGGGACCGCCGGGGACCAGAAAGCACTCCTCCAAAAACGCTTCCAATTCGCGACGTACTTCCACAGTGTCCGCGCGTAAAGAGAGTACAGGGGTTCCCAAAGATCCGAGCCAGAGCCGAGCCGAGCCGAGCCAGAGGGAGGTGGATGCCGTCAGATGGTGCGTCCGTGTGGGGTGGGAGACGAGAGAGACATCGCTGCTGCTGCTGCTGCTGCTGCTGCTGACTCTCCTCTGGATGCTCAGATCTGCTCCTATTTCAAGAGCTGGGGTCCGCTGCGTGACGTGAGCGCGCACACACGCACATGCACGCGCGCATACACACACACACACACACTTAACACACACATCATGCACACACACGCTGCTGCTGCTGCGGTGACGCGCAGAGAGAGAGCGAGAGAGAGAGAGAGAGAGAGAGAGAGAGAGAAAGATGCATTAACAGTGAGGCTCAGGTTGTTTAGTGACTGAGAGATGGAGAAGGGACAATATTATTTGGAACTGGAGACCAGAGAGGGAGACAAGAGAGACAGACCAGAGAGAGAGACCAGAGAGACAGACCAGAGAGACAGACCAGAGAGAGAGACCAGAGAGAGAGACCAGAGAGAGAGACCAGAGAGACAGACCAGAGAGGGAGACAAGAGAGACAGACCAGAGAGAGAGACCAGAGAGACAGACCAGAGAGACAGACCAGAGAGAGAGACCAGAGAGAGAGACCAGAGAGAGAGACCAGAGAGAGAGACCAGAGAGAGAGACCAGAGAGACAGACCAGAGAGAGAGACCAGAGAGAGAGACCAGAGAGAGAGACCAGAGAGAGAGACCAGAGAGACAGACCAGAGCGACAGACCAGAGAGAGAGACCAGAGAGAGAGACCAGAGAGAGACCAGAGAGAGAGACCAGTGAGAGACCAGAGAGAGAGACCAGAGAGACAGACCAGAAAGAGAGGAGAGAGACCAGTGAGAGACCAGATAAGAGAGAGGAGAGAGAGACCAGTGAGAGACCAGAGAGAGACCAGTGAGAAACCAGAGAGAGAGAGACCATTGAGAGACCAGTGAGAGACCAGAGAGAGACCAGTGAGAAACCAGAGAGAGAGAGACCATTGAGAGACCAGTGAGATACCAGTGAGAGACCAGAGAGAGAGAAGAGAGAGGAGAGAGAGAGACCAGTGAGAGACCAGAGAGAGACCAGAGTGTGACCAGAGAGAGACCAGAGAGAGAGACCAGAGAGAGACCAGAGAGAGACCAGAGAGAGACCAGAGAGAGACCTAGAATAGACCATAGCAGGACTATGTGAAATGTGTTTTAGCGTGACCCTGATGTTTCCTGGTTTTCTTGTTGCTTCGGCTCGAACACAGTCGCCTCGTTCCTGTGGCTCTCGCTGTCGGGGCAGAAATGTGTGGATCCATATTATTGACCCGCGCACGTGAAATCCATCATAAACCAACACGCCCAGAACCAAGCCACAGCCGCCTCAGCCACAGAGAAAGAGACCAGAGAGACCGCAGCCGCCTCAGCCACAGAGAGAGAGACCAGAGAGACCGCAGCCGCCTCAGCCACAGAGAGAGAGACCAGAGAGACCACAGCCGTCTCAGCCACAGAGAGAGAGACCAGAGAGACCACAGCCGTCTCAGCCACAGAGAGAGAGACCAGAGAGAGACCACAGCCGCCTCAGCCACAGAGAGAGACCAGAGAGAGACCACAGCCACCTCACCCACAGAGAGAGACCAGAGAGACCACAGCCGTCTCAGCCACAGAGAGAGAGACCAGAGAGACCGCAGCCGCCTCAGCCACAGAGAGAGAGACCAGAGAGACCACAGCCGTCTCAGCCACAGAGAGAGACCAGAGAGACCACAGCCGTCTCAGCCACAGAGAGAGAGACCAGAGAGAGACCACAGCCGCCTCAGCCACAGAGAGAGAGACCAGAGAGACCACAGCCGCCTCAGCCACAGAGAGAGAGACCAGAGAGACCGCAGCCGCCTCAGCCACAGAGAGAGAGACCAGAGAGAGACCACAGCCGTCTCAGCCACAGAGAGAGAGACAGAGAGACCGCAGCCGCCTCAGCCACAGAGAGAGAGACCAGAGAGACCACAGCCGTCTCAGCCACAGAGAGAGAGACCAGAGAGACCGCAGCCGCCTCAGCCACAGAGAGAGAGACCAGAGAGACCGCAGCCGCCTCAGCCACAGAGAGAGAGACCAGAGAGACCGCAGCCGCCTCAGCCACAGAGAGAGACCAGAGAGAGACCACAGCCGCCTCACCCACAGAGAGAGACCAGAGAGAGACCACAGCCGCCTCAGCCACAGAGAGAGAGACCCGAGAGAGACCACAGCCGCCTCAGCCACAGAGAGAGAGACCAGAGAGACCGCAGCCGCCTCAGCCACAGAGAGAGAGACCAGAGAGACCGCAGCCGCCTCAGCCACAGAGAGAGAGACCAGAGAGAGACCACAGCCGCCTCACCCACAGAGAGAGAGACCAGAGAGACCGCAGCCGCCTCAGCCACAGAGAGAGAGACCAGAGAGAGACCGCAGCCGCCTCAGCCACAGAGAGAGAGACCAGAGAGACCGCAGCCGCCTCACCCACAGAGAGAGACCAGAGAGAGACCACAGCCGCCTCACCCACAGAGAGAGACCAGAGAGAGACCACAGCCGCCTCACCCACAGAGAGAGACCAGAGAGAGACCACAGCCGCCTCAGCCACAGAGAGAGAGACCCGAGAGAGACCACAGCCGCCTCAGCCACAGAGAGAGAGACCAGAGAGACCGCAGCCGCCTCAGCCACAGAGAGAGAGACCAGAGAGACCGCAGCCGCCTCAGCCACAGAGAGAGAGACCAGAGAGAGACCACAGCCGCCTCACCCACAGAGAGAGAGACCAGAGAGACCGCAGCCGCCTCAGCCACAGAGAGAGAGACCAGAGAGAGACCGCAGCCGCCTCAGCCACAGAGAGAGAGACCAGAGAGACCGCAGCCGCCTCACCCACAGAGAAAGAGACCACAGAGACCGCAGCCGCCTCACCCACAGAGAGAGAGACCAGAGAGACCACAGCCGCCTCACCCACAGAGAGAGAGACCAGAGAGAGACCGCAGCCGCCTCAGCCACAGAGAGAGAGACCAGAGAGACCGCAGCCGCCTCAGCCACAGAGAGAGAGACCAGAGAGAGACCACAGCCGCCTCACCCACAGAGAGAGAGACCAGAGAGACCGCAGCCGCCTCAGCCACAGAGAGAGAGACCAGAGAGAGACCACAGCCGCCTCAGCCACAGAGAGAGAGACCAGAGAGACCGCAGCCGCCTCAGCCACAGAGAGAGAGACCAGAGAGAGACCACAGCCGCCTCAGCCACAGAGAGAGAGACCAGAGAGACCGCAGCCGTCTCAGCCACAGAGAGAGAGACCAGAGAGAGACCACAGCCGCCTCAGCCACAGAGAGAGAGACCAGAGAGACCACAGCCGCCTCAGCCACAGAGAGAGAGACCAGAGAGAGACCACAGCCGTCTCAGCCACAGAGAGAGAGACCAGAGAGACCGCAGCCGCCTCAGCCACAGAGAGAGAGACCAGAGAGAGACCACAGCCGCCTCAGCCACAGAGAGAGAGACCAGAGAGACCACAGCCACCTCACCCACAGAGAGAGAGACCAGAGAGACCGCAGCCACCTCAGCCACAGAGAGAGAGACCAGAGAGAGACCACAGCCGCCTCAGCCACAGAGAGAGAGACCAGAGAGACCACAGCCGCCTCAGCCACAGAGAGAGAGACCAGAGAGACCGCAGCCGCCTCAGCCACAGAGAGAGAGACCAGAGAGAGACCACAGCCGCCTCAGCCACAGAGAGAGAGACCAGAGAGAGACCACAGCCGCCTCAGCCACAGAGAGAGAGAAAGAGAGACCACAGCCGCCTCAGCCACAGAGAGAGAGACCAGAGAGACCGCAGCCACCTCAGCCACACAGAGAGAGAGACCAGAGAGAGACCGCAGCCGCTTCAACCACAGAGAGAGAGACCAGAGAGACCGCAGCCGCCTCACCCACAGAGAGAGAGACCAGAGAGACCGCAGCCGCCTCAGCCACAGAGAGAGAGACCAGAGAGACCACAGCCGCCTCAGCCACAGAGAGAGAGACCAGAGAGACCACAGCCGCCTCAGCCACAGAGAGAGAGACCAGAGAGAGACCACAGCCGCCTCACCCACAGAGAGAGAGACCAGAGAGACCGCAGCCGCCTCAGCCACAGAGAGAGAGACCAGAGAGACCACAGCCGCCTCAGCCACAGAGAGAGAGACCAGAGAGAGACCACAGCCGCCTCACCCACAGAGAGAGAGACCAGAGAGACCACAGCCGCCTCACCCACAGAGAGAGAGACCAGAGAGACCGCAGCCGCCTCAGCCACAGAGAGAGAGACCAGAGAGAGACCACAGCCGCCTCAGCCACAGAGAGAGAGACCAGAGAGAGACCACAGCCGCCTCAGCCACAGAGAGAGAGACCAGAGAGACCGCAGCCGCCTCAGCCACAGAGAGAGAGACCAGAGAGACCGCAGCCGCCTCAGCCACAGAGAAAGAGACCAGAGAGAGACCACAGCCGCCTCAGCCACAGAGAGAGAGACCAGAGAGACCGCAGCCGCCTCAGCCACAGAGAGAGAGACCAGAGAGACCGCAGCCGCCTCAGCCACAGAGAGAGAGACCGGAGAGACCGCAGCCGCCTCAGCCACAGAAAGAGAGACCAGAGAGACCACAGCCGCCTCAGCCACAGAGAGAGAGACCGGAGAGACCGCAGCCGCCTCAGCCACAGAAAGAGAGACCAGAGAGACCGCAGCCACCTCAGCCACAGAGAGAGAGACCAGAGAGACC